CGAATGCAACTTTATGGCCAATAGTTATGAAAATACATACATACATACATATATACACTTATTTATATATAACATTTAATGGATGTAAAGGTTTATGCACTGTTCGTAAATAACGGTTAAATTTTAAAGTGTTACGCAAGCAGCGCGAGTCGTAGTCGTGTAGTGTAGTTGTTTTTAATGCTCGCAGCAAAACATTTTTTGTTTCTATTGAAAAATTGGCTTTGCACACGTATGTATGCACATTAGGGTAGTCCAAAAATGCATGTAAAAAAGGTAAAGTCGGAATTTATAGGCCCTCACCCCCTAGAATGGTTCTATACTGAAAAATATACCGCAATTTTTATTTTTTTTTTTATAAAAAAAAAAATATTTAAAGGTTGCTCAAAGCGCTTAAAGTTTTCCATGTATTTATTATATATGGAAAAAACCCGCTTCCATCGGAAAACTCTGTTTCACTTCAGGAGATTCCCACTAATAATAATCTTTTATTTATTTAATAATTTTTTCAAAGTAACTATATTTTATAGGTCCGCCAAAATCCCCAAAAAATGCCAGCAAATGCAATAGGGGAAAATGGTTAAATAAACAATTCGGTATTTTTATTGGAAGTCTCTTGAAGAGAACCAGATTTTTCCGATCGAAAGACATTGATTTTCAAGAATTCTATACTATTTCTACGAAAAGCTCTAAATATTTTTTGATTTCAAAATAAAAAATGATAGGAGTCGATTTGTTCGCTATACATAGAACAATCCCAGGGGGTGAGAGCATTAAAATTCCGACTTTACCTATTTTATACCACCCTAATGTACACACTTATGCAGTTAAAATTGGCTGCGAAATTGCCAGGCTCTTCGCTGTTGTTAGGCATAATTTATTTTTTCGCATTTTTTCACTATCAGCACAATATTGCACATCGTAAAGGCAACGGCTGATATTAAGTAACCAGCGTTGAACCGCACTCAACTCAGGTGTAGCCGGAGCTTAAGAGATATCGACTTGAAATTAACTGTGTGAGTGTTTCTAAAATGCACTAAAAAAAGTCTACTGGAGTTAGGAAGTTAGAGCGCGTGTAAAGCGTACTCCTTGTCGGAATCAGTGGAACGCTCCGGACAACTCCCAATCTAGCGCTGGTGGGTGAGTAGGAAGCTTTGGTATTAGCACCCAGCAAACTTTAAGAACTACGACTTCATGCCCGAAAACAAAAAGATCGTCGTGCATCGGGGTTAGGGCCCGATTGGATTTTTCTCGACGTGGTGAATGGAATAGTGGCGGCCTCTAGAACATTGGGCGAATTCATATTTTCAAGGACGGGCCGAATATGGAAGGAAAAATTTTAGAAGGCGATTCCTGTTTGAGCTGCCAGATTTCTGCAGTAAATTTCTGACAGATGTGAGCGCTATAAAGAGGGCAGTCGACTGGCTACGTAACAGGGTAATACCGATTAGAAGTGTGTATATTAGGGTGGTCCTTAAAAATATAACTATCTAAACTTTGTACATGGCACCCTTTTATGTTGGTATGCGTACCAAATAAAGACATCCACGAAAATTAAAAAAATTTAGAAACATTTTTAAGGGTTAGCGCACAGGGTTTGAAAAAATTTAAATTAAAACAAAAATCGCAAGATTTCTAAAAAATGTTTATTTGAAATCTGGTAAATTTGACATATATGTAATTGAAACTTATTCAAATAAATTTACAAACTCGCGGAGTTATAGCTGGCTTAAGTCAAAATATTGTCGAATTTTCGCAATAAAAAAAAAAGAATATAATACATTTTTTCAAAGCGATCCCTAAAAAGAAATTTTCGTAGACGTCTTTATTTTGTGCCACGTATAAAGTTTGATATTGATATTTTTGAGGACCACCCTAATATATGGTCATCAGTGCTCTGGGATCTTTAGTAACCTGAGCAAATCGGGGAATGCCTGGGCCGATCGCCTTGGTTTATGGACTTATATGGATATCAGGGCGCAGTGAGATTTTAGGAGACTGCAGGGCCGATGAATTGAATCTAGTGCCGTATTTCCGCTGAGCAGTAAATAGCAAAACTTTTACTGGGCATTAAATTGAAAAAACCTCTGTCATTGAAATTTACTAAACTGCACAACTTTTCCGTCATTACAATCTCTAGTGGAAATTTTCAATAAAAATCGAATTTAAAGGTTTTAGAAAATACTCTAAAAGTCTCATCAATTATATAAATAGGCAATCATGTTTCCTTTACACCCCTTTTACGACTAAACTGTACTTCTAAGGTATAAACAATTATATATCATTAGAAAGGTATTTTAATGCTGATGTGCAGTCAATTTTTAAACTTTCAAATTAGTTTAAAATAGAGCGAAAAAATCAATTCAAAAGTCACACCAATACCAATGCCACACATGTACATGGTTGGGGCGGAAATGCCTCCTAAATGTATGCTTTAATATTGATAGTGAATTAAAGAAACGTGGTAAGCAGCAGTTTAGGAATAAGATGTATGTATGTATGTACATAAATAGATTAGCCTCAAACAAGGATGAAGATAATTTTGAGTATGGAGAAGAAGAAAGGGATAAATACAGAAATTAAAATAAAAGTAAAGAAACCTATATATAAAGACAAAGAGGAAGGAAAATTTAAATACCTTCCGCTTAAAAACTTACTCCACCTGAGTTCGCTACACATTAATTCACCACACCTTAACTCCCCACACCTAAATCCACCACTACTTCACTCCCCACACCTAAATTCACCACACCTTAATTCACCACACCTAAATCCACCACACTTTAATTCACCACACTTTAACTCACCACACCCCAACTTTCTCACCACATCTTAACTCACCACACCGTAATCTACTACACCTTAATTCACCACACCTCAACTTTCTCACCACACCTTAACTCACCACACCTTAATTCACCACACCTCAACTCACCACAACTAAATTCACCACACCTCTTAAGACCACCACACCTGAATTCATAACACCGTAACTCCCGAACCCAATTCCACCACACTGCAACTCACCACACCCAATTTCAACACGACATGATATCACTAAAGAAACAATGTAAAGAAAGAGAGGAAGGAAAATTTAACTACCTAACCTAATAACAATGGTGGGGGTAAATACATAAATGGAGAAAAGAATGAAGATATAGATCAGGATAAAGGAAAAGATAAATATGAAGACGAAGGTGAATATGAAGATGAAGATGA